TAGGGCGGGAGTGGGATGGGTGGTGATTCAGCGCAATGTGGTGGAGTTCCAGGCACCCATAGGTGTGAGTGCAGGTGGGAACCGGCCCCAATCTAGGGCAGCAGGCCCAGGTGGAGCTGCGTTGGTGCAGAGCCGGCGGCCGACAACGTGCGCGAGTAAGATGACCTGTGGGTCTGCTGGAGGATACTTTGAGGGTGTATTCAAGGAGACAACCTAAGAGTGAAGAGAGGTGGAGAACCAAGAGTTGGGGGTAGGAAAATCTCTTGAAAGGTAGACTTTTGAGCATGATACTGCGAACTATGTGCCATATGACTCTCACCTGAGTATATACAGTCAATGGTAATCCCAACTGATTGTAGAGGAGCGAAGCAAGTTCCTGGCATGAAGCGGTGCTGGAGGAGATGACAACCATTGAGAAGAGTAGAAGAGTTAAGGCATGGGAGCCTATAACACTTCCAAAAGGCAAGAATGCAGTTAAGTGCAAATGGGCCTACATTGTGAAGCAAGGCCCACATGGTAAGAGGTAGGTACAAAAGATCCAAAGTGGTTAAGCCCTTCCCAGCACCCTGCACAAGCAAGAGCTACCTACGTGCACTAGGCTGCCCTTTTTGCAGTTATACCTATGGAACTGACTATGATGATACCTTTGCACCTGTGGCAAAGAGGAGTACCATGGGAACTTTGATATCATATGCAATGCTAGTGGGATGTGAAACTTGCATTCTTGAAAGGCGATCTTCATGAAAAAGTGAAATTCCACCTGACTTCGATATATCTCAAATTCATGAAAGGTCCTTAGGTTGAGCAATTACTATATGGGTTTAAACAATCTCCACAAACATGATTTGGCCGATTTTGTTGTGCTTTGTGGTATGGTGTACAATGCGAGATCGCACTGTATCGCCGCTTAGAGAGGCACACCACGATGTTAGCATTATATATTGATGATATCATTATTACAAGGGATGATACTATTGAGATGTCACAGTTATTGCAAAAGCCGAACAAGAGTTTAAGATTAAGGACCTTGGCCAACCGAGGCATTTTCTAGGCATTTAAATTGTAAGGTCCACCAAAGGGACAATTCTTTTGCATTGGAAGTATATCTCAGACCTACTTAGTGACACATGAATGCCTGGGTGTCGAGTTGCTTCAACTCCTATTGAGAAAAATCATCAACTGTGTGTGCAAGAGATCCAATTGATACACAGAGAGGGAGGGAGGGAGGGAGCTACTAGCGGCTAGTAGGTCGGCTCATTTGTTCGTTCCACTTGAGACCTTACATATCCTACATAGTGAGTGTGTTTAGTCGCGAGGGAAGGAGGAAGGGAGCTACTAGCGGCTAGTAGGTCGGCTCATTTGTTCGTGCCACTTGAGACCTTACATATCCTACGTAATGATTTTGGCTAGTCGCTGCATGCATGACCCAAGAAGTGGGCACTTAGGGGCAACACAAATATTTTGCGCTATCTAGAAGGGTGTCCTGGAAGAGGTCTATGATTTAAGGCCAATGTGCACTTAAATGTAGAGAGCTACTATGATGTTGATTGGGCTAGTTGCCTTGGTGATAAAAGGTTAAGAATTGACTTACGTATCTTTGTTAGAGGAAACCTAATATCCTTGAGGAGCAAGCACTCGGTGGTTTCCTGATCTACAACAGAAGTAGAATATAGAGCAATGTCGGTTTGTTTGAGATGCTGTGTGTCGACATTAAGTCAAATTCAAGGCGAGGTCCTATGAAAATTGGACCCGCTGTGTTCAGGTATGTCCCAAGGAACCCAATCGATCATCATCAACTAGGGTAAGACTCGGAGTTTCCAAGTTTCGATGGAATACGTTGGGAAGGGACCAAGGGGTCATACACTTGCTCAGTCCTAACTCCCATACCTATATACTCGATGCACTAAGGGTAGCAAGGATCCCATTGAGAGGACACACAATCTAGAGCTGTTACACCATGTGGATCGCTTACACTTTTGTCTAAGTCTACTTAGATCTCGTTGAGTTCTTCTAACTTGCCGAGTACCCTCCTTTTTTGCAACCAATCTTTGTATTTCTCCACACACATATAAAAGAGAAAAATTCAGGAAACAGGGCTATTACCCATACTGGGGGCCTGAACCTGGGTATCTGTCCCCATTTCATCTATGTTCTAGAGCCCCCCCCCCCTCATCAATGTTCTAGATCCCTTGGTGACTTGAAGTGATGTTCCTACGACTACAAATTCACGTGCTAGCTCTTGTACCATTGTTAGGACCCTATGAAAAATCCCATGACAGATGGTGCCAATCGTGGTGGTTTCACAACATCAGATTGGATATATGTCCATTTCTTCATCCTTTGCACCTGCTTCTCTCGACGAGATGGAAAATTTGATGTATGACTCGAGCTACCTAGGATACAAAGGTGAGACTTATTTTGGCATCCTACGATATGCAGTGGATGCTATTATGATAACCAAGGCTACACCAGCGAAGTCCTCTAGTGACATCTCCTTCCCTAAGTATGCTATCGCCTATAGCCTACCCGAGTATCAACCGATCTCATCCCATGGTCTGGGTTGGCCTGAGGAGGACTCACCCACTACTCGCCTGACGTGCAACTTATTGCATATTACGACTACTTTAATTAGGATCCTCCAAAATCGATGAGTTCATCAACCGGGAGTTGGAAGCAGTTCATCTATTGGCCTAATTAAAGTAGATCAACTGGCTAGTAGAGACATGTCATCGCACACCAACATCAACCCGAAGCCAGAGTTCAACTTCATAGATAACCACATGGGAGTTGGAGACGTGTCCCCATCATCAACCAATGGCTACAAGAATAACAAGGCGGGAGAACCCAGGAGGAAGCACTACTACAAGTCAGGCATGAGGACACAAGATGGTGGGCGCCCTCACATCCTAGAGCAGAAGCACTTTATGTGAGTTTGGTGAACAAGGTTAATCATTTTCGCTCAATGATCAATGGTGAATATGAGTAAGATCTTTTGGCCGCTAGGAGGTTGAGTTTGTTGAAGCACATGCTCGAGCGGATCCGCCCCCACGATTCGAGGATAGATACGATCCTCTATCATCCCCGACTCCCAGGAGGGTCCCAAGGCGTGCATCCCAAGGCATGCATCACGAGAAAAGACCCTGCATAGTGGAGAAGATGAAAGAATGGTGGGCGACTGCTATGCCATGCCAGAATGTTGTGGGGGTAGACAACTCAACCATTAACATCGGCGACTACCATCGGGGGCCAAAAAGCAACAGGGGAAGAAGTGAACTACTTAGATGCGCTCGGAGAATGTATCCGCCCAATCCTTCAAATGAAAGCTGCAACCACCATGGGGGAAGCCTTGAGCCAACATCACCTCGCAGAGAAGCTCACAAACCTTCAAGGAGGGGGCCTGGGAGGCTTGGCGACCAGCCTTCAAGGTTTCTACTTGTGCTAGAGCCGCTCACACTATCTGATGGCAAATGATTACCAGTTGACCCCTCGCAGGTAGCCAGTTTGGCCCCAAGCTCCGTGAGCACCTAAGTCTACCTGTTGTGCTCCTCTTGGACCCGGGAAACAACCTGTTGCAACTCCTTTATGCGAGCTATGGCGACTCAAGTTCCATCTTACACATAGTAAGGGTGAGCTGTTGTAGTTGACAACATGATCAAAAGAATCGTGCAATAAATTAAAAAATTAGTGAGTCATGCAATGAAGCAAGGAGCAACATACTTGGATGTTGTTTGAGCTGGTAACCTTCAAGATTTCTTCATTGGAGGCCATGCCCTCCCCGCGGCCTCTGAATTGGAAGGGAGATTTGTGGCGATGATGAGCTCTCGGCCCGTCGGAGCAGCCCTATAAGGATCATGAAGAGGAGAATTCAGAACAGTGGGGTTAGGAATGGAAATCTTGGTTGAACGTTCCGGTTGGTGCTTCATCATTCTGCCCTGTGCAAGGCAGGCAAGACACCTCTTTCCAGTTGCCCGACCATCTTGAGCCAGCACAGAGCCAGCACATGTTTAAGGATCTAATCATAACATTTCGGGAAGGAACAACCTTTATCAGCAACCAAAATTGACCAAGTATATGTGACTCCAAAGGAGCAACGAAGATGATTCTCGGCAATCGAAGACCACACAAATCTGCAAGTATGTGCATTGATCTTTCTTGCGGACTGGGCCCTATTACGGCTTCTGATCGGAGGTTTGTTGACAGTAAGTAAAATTACTCAAGGCCTGCTATGAAGGGCGTATAGTTGGGCCCCTCTAGGCCAATGTACAGCCCAGGGAACCCAATCAATCATCACCGACTAAGGGGTTAAGCTTACCATACTATATGGTGTTCATCATTGTTCTACCTTGGTGACCTGACGAGACGTTCCCACGACTACATATTCACATACTAGCTCTTTTACCGCTGTTAGGACCCAACGGAAATCCCTCTGACAATATGGATGAAAGCCCTCCCATCGGAGTCAAGGCTACCAAGGAGAGGGCCATTGAAGCTCCGTGTGATAACAGATCAACAATCAAGTGAATCAACATTACAAATAATCAAGTTCAGCATGACCGAACGATGCATGGAGATATATTGGTTTTTCATCAAAGAGAGGCCTGATGAGTGGACACTGAAGCTAAGCCATGTTACTCTTGCAGAACAAATAGTTGATTGTCTAAAAAACGGGTTAGGGACCAAAGAGTGTTTGTCAGCATGAGACAAGATGGGGATGATAGATATCTATCTCCCATCTTGAGGGGGAGTGTTGGCTGTTTTGGGCTGTGTGTGTGTACACTAGTATGTATAGCAGAGAGAAGAATAGAGAATAGAGAGAATTCCAGAATTTTCCTCACAGTAATCCGTAATTTTTATTATTTGGATTCTCATTTCTCTTGGGCTTTCTCCCTGATGCATTTGATTTAGTAATTTAACAACTGTGGACAAACTATCAATATGTGCTTGCCTGTATTGTTGCTCTTCTAAACCCTAAATTTATGCTCTTTAGTTTGCACAATTATTCAGATGGTTGCTCTTCTCAACGTATAAATTTATGTGCTGTAGTTTGCACAATATTCAGATGGTTGCTCATCTTGATATCTAAATTTATCAATTACCTGTAATTGTGCAGATAATTGCATATCCAGACTCTCAAAAGAAAATGTGCGATGGTGGCAATGTTGTCGAACCCATTTTTGATGTAAATACGATGCCAGTTACTTGCTCTATCTCATCAATCGGCAAACAAGGTAAATGCATTATTTCTCCATCTCAGTTGGGGTCTGTAATTTATGAACGTTACCTTGTCTTAGCTTTTAGTCCAAATTATTTTGGTAACGGACCAAGTAGTCTAATTATTCTTGTTAACGAACCAGATAATCAGAACAGAGCCATCAACCTTAACAATGCAGAGAGCCTGATGGATGTAGATCATGCAAATAGTATTGATCTGAACTCAGGTACAGTGGATCTTGTTTCACATGCATCACGTAGTGCACAAAAAAGAAATGTGGACATGGCAGACTGGATTGACGGAGCCAATGGATCAGTGGACAAGAAAATTAAATTGGATAATGTATCGTCCACTGTGGAGTCTAGTTTAAGTGGGAAGATCAGAGATGGAAGGTTGTCATCCAAGGTACACCCTCTAGCAGCTTTACCTGTTCATGATTGCACAGACAATAAGACCATGCCAGGAATCTCGAAGAGTAATGGAAAGTGCACATTTCCACTAGATCTAAATGTGGTGGATGATGCAGATATAGACATGGAGGATGATGCAGCGACTGGAAATAGCATAACCGTCCTGTCTGAAGATTTACCTGAACAGAACACACAAGATCTTAAGCCAGCACTGGGGGACAACATATCTTCTAGAAAGCCCATGGTTGAAGAAAAGTTGAATAAAGGAGATACACCGCCTACTGATATGTCAGGCGCGCTCTCCCTCTCCCTTGCTTTTCCAGTATCAAAGGAACAATAGGCTGGTAAAATGCAACCGGAATCGCAAAGAAGCCTCAGTTAATTGAGCAGTAGGAATAAATCATTTTCGATTATCCAGTGATGATGGCTCCATGCGTTTGCATTCCTGATGGTCTTGCGTGATGGATCTTTGTAGCATCAACCCACTGCACAAGGAGTCTGCCGAAGACGCAACTATCTTGCCAATGTGCAAACAGATGGCATCTTTTAGAGTGCGTTTTGACGACTTTATATGCTCCCGGCGGCACACCCATCTTGAGTATTGAACTGCAAAGAACTTGAGAATATGGATCATGGCTTGTTTTGGTACATATAAAATATATTCAGCTGCTCTTCCAAATATCGTTTGAGATTTGAGCAGAGCTTTTAGACTCTGCATTTGAAGTACCATCCAGTCTGCATTTTAAATAAATCTCATGTCAGTTTTTGTCTTTAGTCTACAACCGTGCGAACTTAGATGCATATACTGTGGAGGAATGGTGGTGTACACGCCTAAAATTGGCGTATAAATGTTACCTTTTTTGTTGCCTTAAAATTGCTACTGGGATGTTTAAATATACTGATGAAATCACCATTTGAGGCTTTGAGGGATATCTTTTGCAAAAGATTACTCCCAATTCCTGTGGCGGTGAGGAGTAGTGCAGTGTGTTTTTCGCGCACCATATGTCACCATTATTAGTTTTTGCCTCCAAAGGGATTGGTGGGGATTTAATCCGCCTCGGTCCCTGCCAATTCTTTCAAACCCACATCAACCGTTCAAAGCCTACTCCATTATTAGGGAGGCACGAGGGTAAACCCTATTCAGCGTAACATCAACCGAACAAAGCCTTCTCCATTATTAGGGAGGCATGAGGGTAAACCCTATTCAGCGCTTGTTATACCGTTTTTCCCGAATGGGCGCACACCCCCTCCGTGCACGTTTATCCTTTCTTTATTTGTTTCAAATTGCAAAACCCTTCTCTTTTCCCGAAAGGATATGTGCCACATGTGTGGCACGAAATAACACCACCCTGACGTTTTTCTACAACTAAAATTGCCACTCGAAAAAAACCCTAAAAAACTGAAACTTGCCATCTAAACAGGAAGTTGCCATGCTTACAACTAAAGTTGCCATTTCGAGGTAAGCAAAGTTGCCATCAAAAAATGTCGAGTCGAAATTGCTTCGTGCCACATCCAACCCGCGTATGTCTGCCGCTTAAAATGAATTGTTTGCATCGCACACGCAAGCCTCCTCGTGATGCAGCGACCGTGGGGATTAATTAGGGCGAGGCGGCCAACAGTCGAAGCGCAGCCGGTAGCTCCGGCCCCACGTGTGCTCCGTGCATCGTTGCGTCTGAACCTGCCGCCGCTTGTGCACTCGCCTCCCTGAGCTCCCTGCTCGTCGCTGGTGCCTCCGTTGGATCCCTGCCCACTACGTCGGCCGAGGAGGCCATCCCATGCAATCATGTGCGTGAACATGTATTGCAGTCGTCGACGCAGATCGCACAGGAAAGCCCGTGTGCCTGCAATAGTGCTGCTCCGTATGAGGACATGCTTCTTTTTAGGAAAGCCTTCATGGCGCACTTCATTTACATTTAAACAAAGCTGCATCGTTTATTACATCCGAAACAATAAAGCTAGGAGGATTATCAATCCAAAAAAACACTAGAAGCTGTACTAACTGCCTGTCTAGCTAAATTGAGCGCCACCAAATTTGCTTCCCGGTTGCAACGATGCAATGAAGTAGGTCCAATGCTTAGAGCTAATTGAAAACACTATGCAAGTATCGCTGAGTAAGGGCTGAAAACTGGAGCAATTCCATTGAAAGCCGATTCCATAATGATCGGCGTACATCCAACTCTTTCTACGAGCTTGAGCCCTTCCTGTAGGGCCGTTGCTTCAGCTGTAGCCACATCTAGCATGTGATTTAGGGGTGTACACGAGCCAACAATTGCTTCTCCCTGATCATTTACGAATAACAGCTCCTGCACCTCCCGTTCCATCACTGAAGAAAGAGGCGTCCATGTTTAGTTTGCACGTGTTCTTTGGTGGCTTGCTCCATAGTATTTCATTTGTGACAGCTTTAGGACCTACAGCACCAAAATCACTTGCAAATGCCTGTATTTTGAATGCTCATCGACAAACTCCCTCCATTGCCACCAAATATACCAGGATCCAAGAACAATTAATTCTTTCAGCCCAACATGACCAAGTACAGGAGACTTGTTGTTTGGTTGCCGCAAGATCTCTTCGAGCACAATCAATCCAGACCTACCAATGCCCGTAGCTTCGTCAATTATGTCCAGAATGCCCAAGGCTCGCCATACCTGCTTTGCTCGATAACAAGTAAACATCAGATGCTTGATGTCCTCCTCACCCTTTGTGCAAACCGGGCATTGGCCCGTAGTCGGGATATGCCTGTTTGCCAGTACAGCCAACCCCGGGAGAATCCCATGCAAGGCCTTCCATGCAAATATTTTCACTTTGCTCGGAACTCTCAATTTCCACAGAATCTCCCATACCAGATTCTTGACCTGATGCCCCTTGTCCATTGACTCGCGTCAACATGTGACGACGAGAATGGTCGCATTCAATATAATACGCAGATCGGGTGGAGAACGAATAAGTTTTTGTATAATTCCAAGCCACAAAATCTTTCTCTTGATGTTCGCTTAAGGGAGTCCGCAAGATTCTATCGACATCTACAGGGTAAAAAAATATCCCGAATTAACCACTCATCCCATTTGCCAGTCGTTGGATCAATGAGCTCATTAGCCGTTTGCAATAATATTTGTCCCTTGGGAGTCTGTATCATGCGATTATACTTCCTGGAATCCAATGATCCTCCCAGATGTCGATCGTGTCCCCTGAACCCACTCTCCAAATGTGTCCTCTGCAAAAAGTACATAGACCTGCTACTATGCTTTGCCAAGTAAAAGATGACCCCTTCTTCGGACCCGCCTTCAACAAGCAACAATTTGGGTAATTTTAGCTTTAAGAACTCTGGCACACATAGAATCTGGATTTGAAATCAGTCTCCAAGATTGTCTCATCAACATAGCTAGATTAAAAGAGTGCAGATCATGAAAGCCCATGCCTCCATCTTTCTTTGGGATGCACATTCTCCACCATGCCATCCAATGCATACGTTTTTGGTCCTCTTTATCTCCCCACCAGAATTCATACATTGCATCAGTCATTCTTTGCATAATTTCTTCGGTATGTTAAAGACAGACATAGCAAAAACTGGAATGGATTGTATAATTGCCTTCAGTAAAATTTCCTTTCCTCCCATAGACAGAAAATTTTCTTTCCAGCTCTTCAGCCGCACTATAATTCTCTCCAAGAGTTGAATAAAACTGTCACTCCTGTCCACACCCACCATAGCCGGTAGCACTAAATATTTATCTAATAGAGCTTCAGACATAATATTCAATTATGTGCATATGTCGGCCTTAGTCTCCACACTCACATTAGGACTAAAGTAAATGCTTCATTTTGCTTCACTAACCAGTTGGCCAGAACTTGCACAATATTGATCTAGAACCTATCTCAATGAGGTTCCATTATTCATATCAGCTTTCATAAGGATAAGAGAGTCATCAACAAAAAGTAAATGTGAAACTTACGGTGCATTTCCACAAACCCTGACACCTTCAATGCCACAAATCTCCTCTCTATGAGCCAGAAGACTAGAAAATCCTTCTGCACAAATCAAAAACAGATATGGAGATAGGGGGTCTCCCTGTCGGAGTCCCGTTCTAGGAATAAAATAATATGTTTCTTGATTATTGAATCTAACCATATATTTAACTGACTGGACACATGCCATCAACAAATTTACAAACTCTACATGAAAGCACAAGCATGTTATCATTCTGCTAAAAAAATTCCATTCAACCCTATCATAGCCTTGTGTGCATATCCAGTTTAACCGCGCAATAGGCCCACTTGCCTTTCTTCTTATTTTTTATTGTATGAATGCTCTCATAAGACAACAAAATGTCATCTGTAATGAGTCGACCCCGTACAAAGGCACGCCGTATCGGAGAGATGATATCATCTAGAATAGTTTTTAACCGGATAGCAATCATTTTGGAGATTACCTTATATAAGACATTACACAAGCTAATGAGCATGTACCGTGTAATGAGCTACGGAGATTCTACCTTTGGTTTAAGAACAATTACCGTGTCATTCCAGCCCTTCAAAATTACCTTTTGATTTATTGCTTCAAGAACCTCTGAAGTGAGAGAGTCCCCCAAGATATGCCAGCATTTCTTGAAGAAAATAGCATGCAACCCATCTGAACCTAGTGCTTTCATATCTCCGATTGAGAAAAGAGCTCTTTTCACCTCCTCGGATGAATAAGGCTTTAGTAGTTGTTCATTCATTTCATGTGAAACTTTAGGTAACACCTTATTTATGAGATCCGGATCTGGTTCATCAATCTTCGTTGCTAACAGGCCGACAAAGTACTGAGAAACATGCGGATTTAAAATAGTATTACCTTCCAGCCAACCACCATTGTCTCCCCTCAATTTTTTTAATAATATTTCTCTTCCGCCTTGCTGAAGCAAAATTTTGAAAGTAATTAGTGTTCTTGTCGCCATACTGTAGCCAATCAACACGGCTCCTTTGAACAAAATGAATTTCCTCATGTTTCAACAACCATTCTATCTCCTTAGCTAACTCTTTTTCCCTAAGAAGATTTTCATCATTCATTGGATCAATAACATCTTTTTCCATCTCTCTCTGAGCTGTATGGATTCTTTTTTTGTATGTTGCAGCACCGAGCGACCCCACTTGTGCAAATGATCATGGACCAGAGCAAGTTTCAATGACCAGAACAAGTTTCTCGGCAAGAATGCTATTTGAATTCTGGGCTCCCGCCCTCTCCCAGGCCTCCTGAACCACCTGTCGAAAGTGTGCTTCTTTCAGCCACTTCGCCTCAAACCTCAACACTGCCAGCCCATGGTTCTCTTGAATATTATTTATATGAAGGTTCATTACAATCGGTCT